GAGTCTCATTTTTTATAATGATTTTTTTGAAAAGACAATCTTAGTCTTCACATATATTTATAATTTTCTTAGGTAATATGGTTATTGAGATCAAATTTTCACTTTATTAATTTCAAAGATAAAAAGTTTATCGAATTAGGCCGAAATTAAATAAAAGATATTACTACAAGAAAACTCAGCATAATGTTTTTTAGTAAAATGTTAATACAATGATAAATTGTCTTTTTCAAATACACATGATAAATTACTTTTCAATGGATCATTTATATTTTATAGTTCTTTTGAAAGGATCAACAACGTTCTTGGACAGCACAATCAACCTGTATTTTTATATGAATATCATTAATAGTAATTTATCGCTTTTATTTACGCATTATAAAATACATGCAAAAGTTTTATCATTGTACTTAAAGAACCATCATCTTGTTGTGGTTCTTTTTTTCTTTGTTAGCTGAAAGTTTTTGATTTTATATTTTTAACATCAGAAGTTTGATTATTATGTTTTTTCATAAAATATTCAATCCAATGTTTTTTATTTTATTTTTCTGTTTACAAATTTAGTATTGATAATGATGTAGTAATAGTAGAATGCCATCAACTCATCATCTATATACTTGTAATTAGGTGACTTTTTATATATCTTTAAGAAAAAAAAACTTTCTTTAACAGATAAATAATAATACTTTGAAGAATAGATAACAAAATTTGTGTTTCTTTGAATTATAATTCCATGGCCATACATGTGTACGTTACAGGAGCAAAAGAACAATCGGCCGTTGGTTTGCTCAAGTGGGCGGGCCCATGTTGGGGTTTGTATGGTTCTGCCAAGTTGCCAAAGTGCAAGAGACAGGCCCATATATCACGTAGTCAAACGGTCAAACACTAATGTTTTCCACTCTACCACAAGTGCCAAGTGGCCAACCCATCTAGTTGCACATAGATCAAGAAAAAAAAGTATAAATTTAGTTTTTATCTATTAGGTTATCAGGTTGTGCAATCCTATGTGGAAGTCTTTACTGACAGTGAACACCGTCCCTTACTTTTTGTTTTACTGGCGGTATAATGTTGGTGGCGTGTTTCCACCGCTGTCTCTTTCTTCTTTTACCGTTCAAATTCAATCTCTTTCACTCCCTATTTACAGGTGGTAATATATAAACATCACACTCTGGCCTCAATTAAAAGAGGTAAAAATGGCAATATGTCACAATCATCCTATGTGGAGTGTGGTGTCGCCGACACCACACCGTTCAGCTTTATATATCAAAGAGCTTTTAACTAATGGTATTAGATGTTTTTCATTCCTCTTTCAAATCGAGAGTTTAAGTCTCGTTTAGGATACAAGAGAAATTAAGAGTAGTTTAGGAGTAGATTGTATTTGGCGTTCAAAAAATGTATTATATAAAATTTATAAAATTGCAAGTACGTTTTTTCGAATTTTAAAACTATCGGATATTCTTAAAATTATGTTTGGTTGCAATATGATTCAATGTGTTACTCAAAATTTAAATTTGGGCAGATAAAAAAAGAACGCAAACTTAAGAAGAAAACATGATACGGTGAAATTTTGGGATTTAACTTTTGATTTTTGTTAAAGCATATGGGACCAAATTCGTAATTTACTAAGAATATATTTGATCCATTTTCAAATAATAATTTTTTGGTGGACAATTTGAGTGTTGATCCTTGTTAGACTAACGTTGGTCATGCTAGGATCGAGTGTTGTTCACGTTGAGCTTGGAGCACAAGCTTGTAGGTTGGATAAATTGGGAGATTGTGAAGGTAAAAGGCAAGTGCAAAGGAGATGAAGATCTAATCATGTTGATCGCATCAATATATTGTCTCCAAAGGATAACAAAAACGTTTTTCATATAATTGGAGAATCACAAACAGTCTATTCTCGTTTCGATAATTTAAATGCTGTAAGCAGGACATCATTCACTGTTTATGTTACAAACTTCCCGCATAACATGGAAAACCCATAACTCTAGAAATGGTGGATAAATTTGAGATTGTGATTGGTGTCTATATTGCTAGAAGAAATTGAAGTTCAAAAAGAGCTTTGGTTTTATTTGGTTCATAAATATTGATTATGCACGAAACCTACTAAGAATTTGTGTTCTATTGGATTGGTAATCACTATATGTTCGCTACAATGGCTAGATTTGATAGAGGTGGTAGAGGGACCCACCATTTTTACAGATGATAGAGATTTTTGAAGAAAATCATTTGCAAAAATCATCAAACGGGAGTGTTCCATATTTTTCACATAGATTTCTGTACGAAGTCATTTTGCCATTTTGAAGATTTGACTAACTTTTTATTAAATTCTAGAGACTGATCGATAAAACTAACTTAAATTGAATTTTTTTTTATCTCTTTTATTATTTGTTTTGTGTTAAGAATTTCTGTAAACATATTCAAGTTGGGTAGTATTTTATATTATAATTTTCATAGAAATGTCATAAGCATCTCCCCTAGTGGCATGTATAGTTTATCAAGTACCATTCTTGGAGGGTGGGGCATATTTTTTTAAGACAAATAATACAAAGGGCTAAGCTAAATACAATAAGTCAACAATACACTTCAAACAAAGGGCTAAATCAAACTCGAAACCCTTCAATATTAAAATGGTCGGTGACTTTTGATTATTTTAATTAAGGCTTTCTTTATTTTGCAAATCAGAAATTATTTTTATCAAATTAATAGACATTAAAAATTAATTAAATCATATAAATTACAATTTACAATTGTTGACAAGATTAGAAAAGAAGCTATTTTTAGGATATAAAATGTCCCTTCTGTTTCTCTCCGCCTCTCTCACTCCATACTTGTCTCCTCAAATTTCTACCCTCTCCTCTCTCTAAAAACTCCTACCAGATCTTCTCGTGTTCTTCCGATTTCCGATCCTACTGAAACTATGGCATCATCGGCGCGTGAAGAGAATGTCTACATGGCCAAGCTCGCCGAGCAGGCAGAGCGCTACGAAGAAATGGTTGATTTCATGGAGAAAGTCTCCGGCGCACTCTCTGGCTCCGATGAACTCAGCGTCGAGGAGCGCAACCTCCTCTCCGTCGCTTACAAGAATGTCATCGGCGCTCGCCGCGCTTCCTGGCGTATCATCTCCTCGATCGAGCAGAAGGAGGAGTCACGCGGTAACGAGGACCATGTCTCTGTGATCAAGGGTTACAGATCCAAGATCGAGAAGGAGCTTTCTGACATTTGCGACGGGATTTTGAAAATGCTTGATACCAAACTCGTTCCTTCTGCATCCTCCGGTGATTCCAAGGTCTTTTATCTCAAGATGAAGGGAGATTATCATCGATACCTTGCCGAATTTAAGAGCGGCGGTGAACGTAAAGAGGCCGCCGAGAGCACTCTCAATGCTTATAAGGCCGCTCAGGTTCGGTTTTCCCCTTCGATCTACGCATCAAAAACTGCTTTATTTACTATTAAATCATGCCACATTCTCTGCTTTTTTTGCTTTATGCATTGGTATATTCCGAAATTCGTAGATTTACATATACAAAGCTACAACCCCCCAACTATTTCATCTCATGGAATTCAGTTTAGGTTATTTCACCCTCGTTAATTTGCCTATCTTAAATCTTAATTATGATCTGAGGTGTGATAAATTTAGGTCATGCCATAGTTTGGTGACATTTGCTACAACTATCTCACTACAGTTGTGTTCAACTTATGCATTCAATGAATATATGAAACTGCTGAGATATACATATACTACCTCCTTCCTGAAATCCAATACATATTCCAAATTTAGATTGAAGCAATTAATAAACTAGAAAGCATATAACATGTCATTTTCTTTCAAAAGATCTCTTCCATCTCTGTACTCTTCATGATTGAAAAGTCAAATTCATAAACCCTGCATATATCTACAGTTACCTGACATCCATTAATAAATGTTCTTGCTTTATTTGAACCTTTGAAAGTGAAAGGAGAGTGAGCGATGTACAAACACAATAAACACGTCTCATTAATTTCTTGCTGTTACTTTCATACCCCATTTGCTTTAAGTAAATCATTCCATTTTCTGTTCATGGATCTGAAATTTTATAATTTTTTTTTTTGTTCTTCAGGATATTGCAAACACTGAACTTGCTCCAACACATCCAATTCGTCTTGGACTTGCTCTTAACTTCTCAGTTTTTTACTATGAGATTTTAAACTCTCCAGATCGTGCATGCAATCTTGCCAAACAGGTATAAATTATAAAATTATAAACTTGTAAACTTATAAAAAAATATAAAAAAAAAAAACTTGAAATAATTACAATTACTTTTCAGGCTTTTGATGAAGCAATTGCTGAGCTGGATACATTGGGGGAGGATTCTTACAAGGATAGCACTTTGATCATGCAACTTCTTCGTGATAATCTTACTTTGTGGACATCTGATATGCAGGTATTAATATAAACACTGTTTTATAAAGAGTTTAAATGTTCTTTTTTTTGTTTATTTTTATTAATATTATATAATTTGTTTGATTAATATGATTATTGATTATGACAGGATGAGGGGGCTGATGAGATCAAGGAAGCAGGGGGGGCTGCAAAGCAAAGTGAGGAGCAAAAGGAATGAGTTGATTTTAATTTTATATATTATTGTTTTTAAATTTGTTAGAAGGTTTGATTATATATTGGTAATTTGTTATTGAAGAATTGAAGTGTGTTGAATTATAGTTGTTGGGATTTTAATTTATTTGCAATCTTCTTATATGCAATTCTAAAAAAATGGTTCTTTTTTAATTTGCTTTTTTACCTTTTCATTTCACAAAATAAAATTCAAAAACAATATTTTAGGATTTTTTTTTTCTTACAATTATTCCCCAAATAAATTATTTTCTTTCAATTATTCCAAAAATGAAGAAGTTAATGCACCGGTCAAAGTATAAAGTAGACCAATCGAATTTAATGCTAGATTTGCCTGCCATTGCCATATAGATTTTCTACACAAATTTTATGTACAAATTATCTATTTTATGGTATTTAAAAAAAAAATCAATGATAATTTGTGAAAAAGATTGATCGATGAGAACCACAAAAGAAAAAGCATCCATCTTTATTGATCCTTGTTCTTCTAAATAACTATCTCATGACAATTTGCCAATTTTCTTCAAGGGGAAAAAGAGAAAGATCACATATAGGCTATATAGAATATTAGAATGTTAGATTTGACAAGTTTAAGATAAACAATTGAAGAAATTTGGAACTATAATTGTGAAAAACATGCATTACAAACATTAAAAAAAAAATGTCTACAATTTAACCCCATTCTATTCCAGCAAAATCAAAGAAACAAACTCAAAACCTAGGGTTTCTTTTTACATAATCAATAATCCATTCATGTACATAGGATTCTTTAGACAAATTGCTCAACTATTCTTTCCATACTACTGATCTTTCCCCCAAAATTGAAATTGAACCATGGTTTCAGCATATACATATGTATACATATACAAACATATATAACTTCTTTGTAATGTATATGTATTTAGATCAGTATTTCAAAACCCTAATCTTGAAACTTACGAATATTGCTTTTGACCCAATTGAATTGATGATTCATCAGAGGGATTTCCATCTAGGGCTTGGCGCCGGAGGCGTCGGAGACAGTGGTGTTAGCTGTTGGAATCCGAATTGGTTTGTTGGGGAGAATGGAAATCCGGGAGATAACATAGGGAACTGTGATCTTGGAGAATGTAGGCACCCGAATGGAAGCGGAGACGACGGCGCTGTGAACTCCGATGGCGGAAGGGAACCCGGTGCTGGTGGGCGGGGGTGTAGTTGTGGAGGCGGAGGTTGAGTGAAGCCTGGGATGTTGGTTTGAAAGCAACGCAGGTACGCGGAGATCGGAGATTCGGCCGTCGCGTGTACCGCCGGTAACGGCGGAAGCGGGGAAAGAGGCTGGTGATGCTGCCGTTGACTGGTGAAGAAGTTTCCTGGACGGAAGCTAGGGTTTGACGGAAGCACACCTCCGACGGCGTTAGGCGGACGGTTACCGACGTGTTCCAACGGCGGAGGACGAATCCTTTGTAAACGAGAGCTTTGTGGTTTCACTGGTTGAACCGGAGTCGTGAGGCGTTCGTGTGCCGGAGAACCGGTAAGCTTCTGAACAACATCCCGGAAATCGCTTTTGCTGACATTATAAACCGGCGGTTGATGTTGTTGCTGGTTATGGTGGATACTTGACGGCTGAGATTCAATGGCGTGATCCAAAATCGACGGCGGAGGCGGAGGCGGAGGCGGCGGCGGATGAAGCTGATGAATTTGATGATCAAACTCAAAGGGTTTTCTAATGGGCGGTTTAGAAATCTTATGAGACAGTTTATGAATCTGTTTCAAGTACTGATCTTTGCCACCAGTACTAGAATCAAGATTAGGGTTTATAGCAGAAGATTCTTCCCCAGATGAATGACAGCTTTTATCCATCACAGACACAGTGAAAACACACACTGAAACACACAGTGAAACTTTCTCTCTCTAGATCTACACACAGCTCCCCTTTCTTTCTCTCTCCCTCTCACTCTCTCTCTCCCCCTATATATGAATCTTTCTGTATAAATTTGTGGGGACGATAACTTTAATAAAACAGAGTATAATCTAATCTAATCTGAGCTCAAAATCAGAGACAATCAAACAATATTATATATGAATTCAGACATCTTTTAACGTTGTAGATATGTTTGTATGAAGGGAGAGAGAGAGAGAGAGAGAGAGAGAGAGAGAGAGAGAGAGAGTGGTAGCTTAGAAGAAGGATAGACCAAGGGACATCACATGGACCATAAAACACTTTTAACACCAATCTTTGCTTTCCAAATGGGACATGTTTATATATGCAATACACATGGGTAAAAATGTAATTTCATAGAAAACTTGAAAAGATCATGAAGATGCGTAGATGAAAGCATAACATAGATCGAAAACATATGGATATGGAGGATTTTTTATATAAATATATTTTCATGGATAAGGGAGTTATATGTAAATCTGTTATAATACAATGTATTGGCATGGGTAAAACACGTAATTTTGTCTAAAAAAATAAAAATTCACATGAAATTCATGAAAACACATGGACATGATGAGTGAAGTGGTAATAGCATTGACGAAAAGTTGATAGGACCTATTAATTGGTATTTTATAGTTTGGTGATTGAATTTAAGTAATTTAAATATGCTTCCTCTCAAAGGAGTAATTATGTCAAAGACCATATGAAATGTTATTTACACGACTTTGAGTCAAAACAAAACTCTTCTTGACTTAAAAAAACGTATTGACTTGGAAATGTATTCACAAAGTAAAAGTATTTAATTCTTGTTCTTATCACATAGAAGTTTATTTAGGACTTTCTATAAGTCAATAACATGAGTTTTGCAACCTACTTTTACGAAACAAAAAAGTTACTACGAAATTTCTAAATGTTGTTCATAGTTCCGAACATCTTTTTCGTTGGATACATATTTCGAACATGTTTTCATACATGTTTTTTTGAAGAAAAAAAACATATATGTAGAACACATCTTCTAATGATATGGGTACAACTCCTGATGACGTCATTACAAATTGGATTGAAGATTTGATTAAATCAACCTCAAATATGTGGAATCGATTTTTTGTTCTAAAAATTAAATAAAACTCGTATGGATAATGGTAAATGGGTCGACTAGCAAATCACATTGTTTCAATTTATGATATTTTTTTCTTGTTCGAGAATGTTGTCGTTTCAAAACACCGTTTTTCTACTTTTACGATTTTATGAATGTCTTAAACTATATGTTTCATTGAGATAATTGATTATGAATTTTATCACGACAAAATTACATGTTAGGTACCTAACATTTAGAGTTTATTGCACAGTTCATCCAACTATTAGCTTTGTTGCATAAACGGTCCTTCATCCAAACCTTTGTAACACTACGGTCCCTCGCCCTAACCTCCGTCGACCTCCATTTGTTAAGACTCCTCGTGTGCCTTTCCTGTGAGGGTAAATTGGGCTTTTTGCCATTCTCTCTCTCTCTCTCTCTCTCTCTCTCTCTCTCTCTCTCTCTCTCTCTCTCTCTCTCTCTCTCTCTCTCTCTCTCTCTCTCGTAATATGATGCTTATCAACACTTTTACCTACCATTCGAATAATTGAAAGAAAATGATAAAGAAGAAGAACCAAAAGAAGACGAAGTTGAAGATGAAGACGATGAACATTTTTTCCTAATTGCCTCTGAAAGACTTTTGATTGCTACACCTACTATCAAGACCATCTTCATTCTCTGATCTTCAATACCCTTTAAGACATTTTCCGATATTAGGTATTTTGACTTTTGGAAGAACCAGTTTTCTTGTTAAGTTTTAGGTATTTGATATGAAATGTTTATCAAAATTTTCTTCGATTACTAATTTTTAATGTTTGAACCACAAGTAGATTTTTGTTAAACGAATATTTGAGATAGTTTCTAGAAAAGGCTTCTAAGTCGACCTTGGCTTTGTTGGTCATGACGAGTAGTGCTTTATGGGATGAATTTAAATGTGATGATGATCACCGATGAATCATATTAATTTTGTTGACCAGTCAAAGAAGTATTCATTTGTGGTTAATTTAGTGTTTACCCTACAAGATTCAAAAGGCTATATAATGCATCATTGAAAAATTGGAGTGGAAAATGTAATAAACTCTTATTGTCATTCTTTAGCATTTTGAATAAGTGATTTCTGATACAATTTTAGGAACGATAGATTCTATAATGAAAACATCACATGAAGATTTGAAATTTTGATAAAAAAAAAACACACACACACACAGAAAGGTATAAGATCAGTTTTGCATTAATGGGTAAAAAAGAACAATTCGTTACAAGAAGTTGTGCAGAACTATTCTATGCAAAAATTATCCATTCTACTGACTAATGCTCTTATATATAGGCGTCTGAGAAGCATCATAAATGAATCCTAAGTCGACAGTTAAGAACTGCAAACCTAAGATGAAATACATTCCGAAATCAGAACAACACATTTTGAAATTAAGAAAACACATTATACATGACAAACAGATTGCGAATAATGCATACAACTAGACACAACATTATTTCTGAATCCTAACAATCTTCTCATTTGTGTCAAGTTGTTGTTGTGGTCCTTTCTTTCACATTCTCTGCGACTTCAAAAATCTTCGGTATAGTCTCCAGTAGAGTCATCTGAATCACAAACCACCATTTAAGCATTTCGGAAACACACTTCACATCACCTTCATTATTTGACTTGTTTTCCTTTGCTCTATCGACACTTTGATTCAAAATTGCAATAGAATATAGATGCTTGTCTCGTAAGAATAACATGCATCTTACCACTCTTTCGTTTTCCTTGCTCTTGTAAGCCACTCCCCAGAGTTCTTTTTCAATAAAACCAACTTTGAATTTATCCAAATTATCAGGAGGTGGAAAGGGCTTCATAATGGGCTTTCTTTTTAGAACAGCTGCAATTTCCATGTTCGTTTTTACAACTTCAAGAATGTAAGCTTGAATCATCTTCTTCATAATTGATAGTTTTCTTGGCATAAGATGTTGAACAATGATATCCAACCATATGGATTCATAAAGGGAATATCTACCAAAGAGAACTCATGAACTTCATGATGATGAACTCTGAAAGCTTTGAAACTGACATTTTCAAAACCATTCGAAACAATAGGTTTTCCAACTTTCAACCGAACAGTTCTCTTCAAACTCCAAGATTTATACTGTGGCTTTGAGTTTTTCACATAAAAATTGAACAGCTTCTTGTTTACAACAACATTCGCCAAAGGAACCTTCACAATATTTTCAAAACATCGGAATTGAAATGCCTTTGCTGTAATCAGAAAATCTAGCTGACACTTCATTTCATTTTTAGTAGAGAAAGAGGTATGAGGATCCAACCAAAACCGTTTCGGATTATCGATAGCTTCTTTCTGAATCTGATCAACAGTCCAATCCGGAAACATGGCCTTCTCATAAGCGATAATTTCTTTAACGTTTTTCTCTTCAGCTTCTTCATTTTCAAATTTTGCTATTAATGCATTCAAGGCATCAAGCTCCTTATCACACTTTTCATGCTCCTTCAATTCTTCTTCATATAAGTTCGGGTTTAGATCAACATCTTCTTCTGAAACAATATTAACCTTCCCTTTACCTGATCCAGAAGATACATTACCCTTCCGACTAGTCTTCACTTCTTTGAGGTTTTTCAACCTATCTTTCAAAGATTGTTTTCAAGAAAAAAATTTGTTGCATTCGTCGACTTAGCCATTTTTTCCTGTCTGATAAGGATTTCAACAATCTTAACAAGACGCTAATTAATCTTAAAATTTTGTCCTTTGCCCAAGATTCTTCAATTGTTCTTTGAGTACTTTCATCTTTTGAGTAGAATTAGCAAGAGCATCCATAATTTTGTTCTCATGTGCAAGATCATTTTGCAATCTCAAAATCGAATTTGCAATAGACGTGTGATGATCTGCATTATCCTTTTGAAGACCAAAGCGAACAGACTTGAGAGAGCTTCTTTTTCAGCTTGAAGAGATAAACAAAACCCTTCAATTATATTGTTAACTTCAGAAACATTTTTATCAGAAGAAGTTTGAAACTCATATATGAACTTGGTCATGTTAGAAGATATCTTCTTTACATCAGAAACAACTTTATCAACCTTTGCATTTGTTTCAACAATCTTCTTAGGTGATTCTTCAACCAGCTTTTTGTGAGCTTCAAAAGTATTGCATTAGAATTAGTTAACATCTCAATAGCTGCTTGATGTGTTTTAACCATATATTCCCAGTTAGTTGTTGAGAAAGTATTGGTATGCAAAAGAATCAGATCCATCTTTTTGTTTAACTCACGAAATTCACCACGAGTCATTGGTGCAGATAAATTGACATCATCATCACTGTCAACTCGAAAATGAAAACTAGGAATAGAAAAATCTTCAAGAGATTCAAGTTCATCCATAACAAGAAAATATTTAACAGGACTTGGAGATACAGGAGGAACCGAAGTCGATGTGGGTTCTGATGTAGTCACACCAATACTGACATTTGAGTACGCGTTAGATGTGTGTTCTCAAGGACGCCTGAAGTTCTATTCTCCTCCTTATATAATTCAAAAGCAGAAACTTGTGGTGGAGGTTATGTGTTTATAGTCTGAGTCACAGAAGGTTTTGTTGTAGAGTCAGTAAAATCGAAATCTGAAATGGTAAAGTGGTTTGAGATTGGGATTGTGGTTCAAAATTGAATTTCGAAAGAGGTGGTATAGTGGTTGCAATCGGAACAGATGTTGTTGTTGTCGGAGGTGGTGGTGGGGTTTGAGAAAAATTGATGATTACCTCATTCAATATATTTTCATAAACATCTGACTCAGTTGGAGTCTGAATAGATGAAGTTGGTGGAGTAGATACCTTCGAAGTCATAATTG